CCCCCCGACGTATATAACAAAGATTTTACTTTTCCGTAACTCAAAAGCTGTTAATGCGTGTAACGATTTTATTATTTTGGCTTTGCAGTAACATTCACAGTAGGCTACAGATGGTCATCTGTAACACTAACACTGACTACAACATAAAATATAAAGGTTGATTTTTCGTGACTTTTGCCATCAGTAGAGATTATAGAGAAACGACACAATTTTTGGTTTGTGTTAGAATACACTTAATCCCCAATGATTTTGTTGTCAAGCTTCTATTCATTTATTTTAATTGACCGATTTTACGTGTCAAAGCTTTTGATTTTTAGATTATCATCCAAGCGTTTAGATATATAAATTTTTATACATAAAAAAAAAAAAAAAAAAAATAAATAACAGTTTTATTTTTGCAATTTATAAACATTTGATAAACTGTTTGCTGCCCATGCACACTAAAAAAAAAAAAAGAAATATAATATTAATTACCATTATTATTATTTAAAAATTAAATATATTATAATATTTTGATGGACTGCACACCAAAGAAGACAATAAGAAGACCCCTTGGTCAATTGGGTCACTTTGCAAATTTACGACTCCAAACATTATCCATAACGTCCCCAAAAATTATACTTTGGTACAATAATATTGTAATAAAAAGAAAATATCTATCTATAGTGCGGCGGGATAGATATGAGAAATTAATGGCTGTAACGGTATCGGTGATAAATTAATATTTTCGATTGTCCAAGTGTCCTCGAGTGATGGACAAACAAATCGTAAAGTACCGAGACAAAGGAGTTGAATGAAAAAAAACAGAGAACTGAACGATCAAGAGAGAGAGAGAGAGAGAGAGAGAGAGAGAGAGAGAGAGAGGCGTTAAAATTATCAGAATGTATTCGCGCGATGACCACTCGGACAATGCCCAGTCAATTATTGACGATTGTGTTACACCAACTGTTACACAAAACTGCCCAGCACGAGATACTCTCTGAGAGACTCGATTATTGGGGGCTTGGGGGAGTGATACCAATCAACTTTAACTGTCTAGTGTGTTTTTCTAGTAAGAAATAAGAGATTAAGAGCTTTTTATTCACCGACCGCCTACGTCTACTCTGTCCAGTTAATTTATGCATGTTTGCTTTATTCTAAAATTTAATTATAATGATAAATTTCAATTTAACTGATTAAAAAAATTGGCTCTCCTTATCGATATAATATCAAAATTTTATCTTTCCACCATCAATATGGTAAATTATTCGTTAAACTTTGATTTTTTTTCATTTTTTATTTTTTTTATTTTGATTTGGGTACCTAATTTGGGGAAAGTTAAAAAAAATAAAAACGATAAATATAGTAAACACAGCAACAAAAAGCAATGTCTTATATATAATATCCACGTGGCTACCGAGGACGCGTGCAGGACAAACAGTCACGTGCATTAACAGGAAGTTTTAGCACCGCATCTTTCCGTCCGGCTTCGATCTCGTATAATATAAAATACTTTCCTGCACTGTCTCATCTCTCAAAACTCCTTGGTTGCTTTTGCCTCGCTAATAAAACTTATTTTCAAGAAAGCACAAACAATCACTCGAATATAAAGAGCCACAAACGACCTAGCGTCAAATAAAATAAATATATATTACACCTAATGGGGTTGCTATTATCCGTTTTCTATTATATCCGTTCCGATAATAACGATATAGTTTTTAATAACTATATACAGCATTTGTTGTATTAATATATGTAAAACAATGGCAATTGCATGTGTACTCGGACCCATAAGTTTGAGTTTTTAAAAAAACTAAAAATTTTATATGCAAAAGTAAGTCTCGCCAGGTGTTTGATAAAAAATTTGCATTCTTATTATATATACATTATTACATGCTGTGTTGCGTTTCGTATCCGTAATATAATATACACAATATACAGTCTAATATAACATAACAAGAGTTTCTGTATAACAAACTACAACACCCTGGTATTAGCCAAATTTTATCGCGTATATGTGCTTGTTACCGTGTAATAAATTCCATCTTAACAGGAGGGCAACAGAGGCGGCCAGTGATTCATTTTATATATTAAATTATAAATAAAATTTTTGCTTCAGTAATCAATACTTGAAACTTTTTTACTTTTTTTTTTTCATTTAACAATTATGATGATTGCATCTTCGAGCCAATATATATATATATATTAGACATGTAAGATACACACGTCCAACACACGACAAAATTTGATCGCGTGTCTTAAAAAAAAAAAAAAGATCCTTTTATATTATTAAACCTTTTTCTTTATCCTCTCTTTTATTATTCTTCATCATTATCTTTTAGTTATTTATTTTTATTCTTCCCCCATACCAAACACCTAGAGCTGTTAAAGGGACTTTTTGATCCCCTTATATACCAAAATCTCTCTCAGTATATCTTACCGGTATAGGTGATGCTGCTGGGTATAGAGTACTCATCAGTAGTGTGCTGCAAATACTAGTCTGAGCAGTCTGCAGTCCATTATGCAATTTTAAAGAGTGACAAAGAGATGAAACTAAAAATGAAGAAAGCGAGGCTGTGACTACACAGATTGTATACAGATAATAAAGGATAGGAGTCATATGTTGAGTTATCCGTCTCGCTTAGTCCTTTTCAATCTCGCCGTCTCTCCCCTTTGCACTTTTATTTTTTTCTTTCAAACGCCGTTCGTTCCCACAGACGCCGTCTCTTTACTCCGTTTCTCTTTCTCTCAGCTCATACATTCATATAATATATATATATATATATATATATATGAATACGAAAGATGGGCTTTTTAAACCAGTCTAAGATATCTACACAAGATTCACCGTATAGTAAAAAAAGAGCATCTGCGCTGGTTGATTTTTCACAAAATACCAGAAATACTTGTATATATGTATATTTTTTCCTCATTTCATCTTTTTTATTTTCTCTTACTTTACTCGGTTATATTTTTTTCCATTTATACTTTTGGTGTAATTAAAATAATTACCAAAGGAAATACGAACAGAAAATTGTTAAAAAAATAATATAATGACGATGAATTAAAAAAAATTTCACTCAATTGTATATTATGTAAATATAATTGAAAAACCTTAAGATATATAGATTATTAGCTGTTTGCAGTGGAGATATAACAAACATAAAAGAAAATTAAAATAAAAAAAAAAATTCACCCCCAATATGATCAAAAGTTAACCGATTAGTCAGCAAAGTTCCCAGGACTGGAGGATAATCGTGTGAGCGCGTGCTGCAACCAATTCCTGTGTGAATTTGATAGAGCCCACCCTCTCAATCGTCCCTTATTTTCTCAACCCTCACTTAACCAATGTACACGACCTACGCACATCTACACTATGTATTATATCATTATAGATTACACATATTGCATACAATATACATATAATGTGAGACCAGAAAAATCACTTGAACACGATGTTGACCGTGCGAGAGTGATTTTACGGTTTACGGTGTATAGTGGCTATTCTTTATTCTATTTATTTTTCAGTATCTTTCTTCGTTTCTCGATTTAATCTCTTTTGCTCAAACAGAATAATTCGCGTACAGCACTCCAAGGACCGTCAATTCTCTGTAATAAATAATCTATGTTAATTAAGCTTCTTGCACGGTATAATATTCAATCATTTTTACTTGAAGATATTATTATTATTATATTCAATACAGTATAGGATATATATTGTATTGTTGGCCGTTGGTCGTTCGCCGCTCGCCGCTATCAACCATACCTTGTCCAGTCACGTGTCACTTTATTATTATAACTACCACCGCTATTATTATTTTGCATTGAGGTTTTGTTTTTATGCTAAATTATTCCCTCGATAATATTTTATATTATTTTTAAATATTGCGGGAATTAAAATTAAAGTTATTAAAGAAGATTGGTAATCTGAAAGAAAAGTAAATTTTATTGAATAAGCAGATAAATTTTTGCGTTTCAGATCCTTGGAAGAAAAAACTTGGTAATAACTTTTGGTAAAAGTCCTTAAAATTTTATTTTCGTTTTAAAATAAATTTTTATAGTATTAAGAATAAAATAAAAAAAAAAAAAAAAAAAAAAAAAAAAACAAAGAAAGATAAAAATCTTTTTTTAAAAGAATGAGATTTATTTATGTGAAAATGGCATTTCATCCCCTATCAACAATTATGACATGCGTTCCCACGAATGGTTATCCCCTACCACTGGTAACTACTACTGACTACCCGCAACTACTCGGCTCTTTCCTCCCTTCCTACTTCTCCATATACTAAACTATACTCCATATACTCTAGACAGCACACAGATACACACATGTTCAGTCGGAGCGTATCCTAAGCCCGTAATTCGTTGAGATACACTTACACAACTATACTATTTAGTCCCCTATATCGACTACAAGGAGTATAGTATCCACAGAAAGCACCCCGTATTATTATTTATTATATATATATGTACTGTGTATCATGTATCTCAGTGTTTAACCGTATATATATATATATATATATATATATATATATACATATACAACAGTATAGTATTATTGTGCGTACTGACACACATACATACAGCATATAGCATAATATGTAGCACAGATCAGGAGAATCCCCTCCACGAGGACCACGTGGCGAGCGTACGCATTTTCCCTTCCTCGTTCTCGCGACCGTAGGTTAGGTCGTGTGTCGTGCTCGTCCTCCCGCACACGACATACGTTTGCCGCCACGCGACCAGTCCGCACGTAGTCCAGAGTTCTTCTCCGACTTGGCCTGATCAGGTCTTGCTTGGTCCAGGTTCAGGTCCAGGTCCAAATCTACATTTTTTTTTTTTTGTTTTATTTTTACTGAAAACTTTCGGAAAACTTTTAATTCACAAAAAATTTTGTTACAAAGTGCCTCGGGCTAGTGCTTCCATTTTTTTAAATTGTGTTAAAAAAAAAAAATAATATTATTTTCAAAGTTTTAATTACCACATTAATTAAGTGAAAATAAATTAACAAAAAAAAAAAAATGTGGCGTGTCGTGGTAGCAAGATCAGATGACAACAGTACACTGTTGTCATCAGAAATATCAACGAGTACAGTGGGGCCAAGTCACCACATACCCGCAACAAGTCACCACTATTATCCTACTTATCCACCACCACCACCGCCTCCTCCTCCTCCTCCCCCGCACCACGGTTATCAAAGTCAGCATGACATGCGCCACGATATGAGAGCTGATTCTTCTCACCTGAGGCCCGAATTGAGACACCAGGAGATGCTTAGAAGTGATTTGCATCTCAGACAGGACATCAGGCATGATTTGAATGTCCAAGGGCATCACCAAGACATGTCTTCCATGAGACATGCTCAACAAAATCACCACGAGTTGACCGAACTGAGGCCCAGCCACGAACTCCAGGAACTTAAGATTGACGGGCCCGAGTTGAGGAGTCGGGACCAACAGCAAGGACTTCAGCAGCAGCAGCAGCAGCAGCAGCAGAGGAATTTAAAAAGGACTTTAAGTGACTCCGATTGTGATGATGTTTTTTCGGAAGAAAGTGGAAAAGAACCGTAAGTTATTATTATTATTTTAAAAAGCGACACTCATCATATATTTTATTCACTAAATCTCGAGTTTTAATTATGCTAAATATTTAACATCAGTATAATAAACACTATTACTTGATTGAATAATTTTTTTGTTTGACTCGAGTTTATAAAATTCTTGATGAATGTTTTTAAAATAAAAGAATTTTCTATCTTAAGTGGAATTAATTTTTTATCAGGTCATAGATCAAAATTGTTCACTTTCTTAATAAAAATAAATTTTTATTTTAATAAAGATGATAAAAATTATAATTATCAATGAAAAATTTTCAACAACAACAACAGTAATTGTTAATTACAGGCAATAAAGTATCAGTTAAAATTGTTTGTTTCTTTGAATTAAATTGGTGATATGGCTGATAGTTGGATTAAAAAAAGATTAAAACCAAGGTCAATTTATACTATTACTATTATTAATGATAATGAAAAATTAAATATTAACAAATATGTTAGAAGAATTTTTGAAAATAAAGTTAGGTAAATATTAAGCGAAAAAATTAAATATCTATTGTAAGACACAAAAGAATTTTATTAAAGCGTACTATACAATGGGGGAGAGGGGAGGGGAGGGGGCAATTATTTTGTTGTGAATTATATATCTACGTATGTTTTAGTTTGGGAATTTAAATATGAATATTCATGTAATTTACATATTTTTGATTGGGTTTATGGACGCACAATGGGCAATCAAGTTGGCATTGTTGTATTAAAATGTCAATAATTAAGAGAAAGATATTTGGTTTTAGTTTCCCTTGTTAATTTATTTGTTTGAATATTTCAATTATAAATTAAATAATAATTGTAGGTGTAATTCGCCTGGAGGTGATTCTTGTCAGCACACATCCCGCAAGCGACGACGTGGAATGATTGAAAAAAAGCGACGTGACAGGATAAATGCGTCTCTTGGAGAATTAAGACGGTTGGTACCTGCGGCCGCAAGAGATCCTCACTCAGGGAAACTCGAGAAGGCTGAAATTCTCCAGCTAACTGTTGAACATTTGAGGACCTTGAGGAATAAAGGTGAATATTGTTATATATTAATTAAATATTAAAAAATCCTTTTTTATCATCAGTGTCTAAATTTTTCTTATACCTATACTGCTTCTCTGGTACAGTTATGTTTTATTTAGTAATACTATTATATTGTATTTTATTTTATTATATAAAAAAATTTTTGTAAGGACAAAATTACCCTTGCGTAACGGATCTCGTCAAGGACACACGGAAGTGCTCTTTAAAATTTATAATACCCGTGTAGGTAGTGAAAAGTGATGAATGCCTGGATATCAATGAGTCCCGGTATACGGCAAAATATCTTAAATTAATAAATGAATGACAATTCGGAGCTGTTGTATTTTAAATTGAATTTAAGGATGCGCTATTATTATTATTATTATTATTATTATTATTTTTTATCCTCCTTACCAGTTACATTATACCAGCGTGAAGTAATAATATACACAAGTATCGAGAGTGTTTTGCTCGTCCGGAAGACACCTGTTGACCGCGTACGGATTTTTAGAGACACACCAAATTGTGAAAGACCGTAACTGTAATTTTTTTATTTCCCTAACCGTATTCCCATCTGTTTACTACAACAACAACTGCTTATTTTTTTTCTCAGGAATAATAATAAATTATTATTATTTTTTTTTTTTTAATTTAATTTGTTTAATTGTTTTTAATTATTAATCAGAATATTAACTTTATCTGCTGAAGAGTTCTGATTTCAATATTGAGTATTAGCAGAAGTATGCACCAAGAAATTGGCGGTCCTAAACAATTAAAAGCATAGAAAATGAGCAGGTGCTGGTGGTATAGCACCCTGAGCATGTATACATCTATAAATTACATATAGCAGTGCTAAACATGAGCCTTAAGATTTCTGGTTATGTTTTATTATATTTTATGTTTAGTTATAGTGATAGATAGATATATGTATATCCATATTAATGGATGTGTGTGTGTGTGTGTGTGTGTGTGTGTTTGTGTGTTTGAGATCCTGTGGGAAGCGAGGAGGAAGTCAACAACTCTTCCGAGTGACGTTCCCACGAATTTAATACTATATACATAGATGGTTTATGTATTATACATGTACTGTGTGCAAGCATCTGTGAGCAAGTATGGAAGGGACTGTCCGAATCCGAATGGTACGAGTGGGCCATTACATTCGCATACGCATGCACCAAAAGTATAGTATATATATATATATAATAAATATCAATGGGTGGAACAAGAGTGGAGAAAATAAAAAAACAGGGTAGAAGCTCTCACTTGTACTTTTTATTTATTATTATTATTATTATTATACATATAGATTTCGGGCACCCCTGAACTCTTAAAATTAGTCAAGTATTTGGTGTTAGTGCAGAGGTGCCAGACTCTGTGCAAGACAGATGCAGTTCGCTCTGTGAGAAACCACCACCACCGATTCATTCCCCTTACACTCTTCATCATTTTTATAAATTTTTATTTTCATTTATTTTATACACACGCACCCCGTTAGCCACTTACTTTAATTAGTCACAGGAAAATAAATATAAATTTTTACATACGTTTTTTTTTTTTTAATAAGAAAATTTTCAATTATTATAAATTCACGCTTTATATATAATTACTTTAATTAAAACTTTGATAATAAGTATAACTAATTGTTTAAATTTTAGGTCTTATTTAATAGTAGTATTAGAATAAAATTAATAAAACACGTAAAAAGTATAAATAATTTCAAGAGATAATAAATTTTTCGAAAAAAAGATTAAGTTATAAAATAAATAATGAAAAATAAAGTATTATTGTGAGGATTGATGGTAAAATTATGGAGGGAGGGGTGATGAGCAATGAAAAGCGAAAGAAAAATTTCTCACAAGGCTGATGTGTTGGGGTTTGATCAGAACCAAGTTTTGGTTGGTATTCCCAACTACAAATGGAGTGTGGAGTGTGGTGCAGCCGGCAAACGGGACAGGTAGTATATATAGCGTGGGAACCGTTTAGACCCCCATCGACCCCAACCAGACATATTAGTCCGCGTAAACACTCATACATAAAATAGATTACATATATACTATATATACGCATATAGGTCCTCGTTTCTCTAACATATGACAGTCAATAGCAATACCAAAAAAAAAATAAAAATGTCCCATCGAAAAGTATTACACAGTTTCCCGCTTGGATAATGTTTAGAGAATTAAATTTTGCCTGTCGGGATTTTCGTAGCAAATATTATAAATGCCACCTCTAATTTAATAATCTTAATTATATACCAATACAACTTAATACTCATTCATCCCGTTACTTTTTTATTATTTATTTATTGTTTTTTATCCATCAGACCACCAAAACCCGACACCCTTTCACCCCTTACAGTCATTCCAGCCTTTACAGCCTTTACAGCCTTTACAGCCTTTACAGCCTTTACAGCCCTTTCAGCTCCAGGGAATTTACTGCCCTGCATAATAACAATTAAATATTTTTATTTATAAAAATTTATAACAATAATCTAAAGCAATAAATTTGAATTAATACAGTTATATACGCATATATAACTGATGATAAAAGATTTCTATTATAATAAAATAGTAAAATTTTTTAAGTTTTAAAGTTAACTAATAAAGTAACTTAAAAAATTGCCATCAGGACCAGAAGGATACGACACGACAAAATTAGCAATGGATTACCACGCAGTGGGTTGGGGTGAGTGCGCAGCGGAAGTAGGGCGTTATCTAGTGACAATGGAAGGGCTCGACGAGCGGGATCCTCTGAGATTACGTTTGCTGTCCCATCTACAGAGTTTTCATCGGGAACACCCCCCACCCAGTAATACATCATCGATTCCACCTAGCGGTTCAATCACTGCGGCATCCACCCCCGGTAATTACGAAGGAATGGCTGGGGGTAATGGAATGCCTCCAGGTGCTCAAGGAGTTCCTCCGCTTATCGGCGGGGGGGCTCTCGGCTGGGGACAATATCATCCCGGTCAGTATCCTCAGCAGCAGCACGGCAAGCCCTATCGACCTTGGGGCGCTGAATTAGCTTATTAACAATACTAATTAAGTAATTATTATTCATTATATATATATATATATATATCAATTGTACATAATTATTTATTTTCTTAAAGAGTGATAATAACTTTTGATAGTCATTAAATTGTACCTAAGTGTCGAGATTTATTATTTATATATTTATCATAATTAGTATTTATTTTTTTTAATTTATCAAGACTCTGTACAGTGTTAATAATTTGTAAATATTTTTTTCATCTCGCAATTATTTGAGATAAATAATATATTTAGTATAAAGTGCCATTTTAAATAATTTAAATATATATTATTATAATTATGTGTGAGATATTTTTCGCAATATGGGTTGAAATAATAATAATAAAAACTAAATTGTATTTTTAATAATTACTGAAAAATTAAATTAATTATAAAATAAAAAATAAATTATTCCAATTAAATTAAATTGAAAAAAAAATAAAAACAAGCAATTTTTTTCATTTCCATATAATATAATGAAATTTCAGTTGACCTGGTACGCAGTGTATACCATTTTTTCAGGCAATAGTAGTGTATTTATTTTTTATTTTATATTTTTATTCTTTTCTCATGTTAAATTACCCCTTCATACTCTATTCAGTTTTTTCTCTATTATTCCGCGTTTCTGGCACTATATTTTTTTAGCGTTCCACCTTGTTTGAAATAATAATCCGCAAAGCTGGAAAGCAATAGCCAGAAATATAGAATAGAAATAAAATTCACGGGGTTAGTGGGAAAAAAAAAAAAAAAAAAAAAAAAAAAAAAAAATAAGATAATAATAAACTTAGATACATTGAGTAAACCGGTTCTAATTACCGAGCAACTGATGAGTAAAGTCTTTTGCACCCCCATCGGCATCTTTTTCTTCTTCACACAACCCGGCCAATTTACTTCAGTATTCTCCTCAGAGCCACGTGTCTATTATCCTTCCCTTCATTACATTTGTTATGGTTAATTTCACGTTTACATTTTGACGTTATTTTTTTTTTAATTACCTCATTTCGTGGCTTTCGGAATACTCGATATACAAAGGATGGTTTTTTTTTTGTTTATAATTGGCTGACTTTGCTTTTTAAAGTTTTTATTAAGTTTCTTTTGGGGAATTGTTTGGAATAATATTTTAAAATTTAATCAAGTGTTGATACTGATTTTCAAATTTTAATAATAATTATAGTATAATAATAGCAGTAGCAATGACAGTTAATTTTTTGTGTTTCTATAAAAATTTCGCGAGAAAAAAAAAAGACAAAGATTTAATTATTTTGTACTGACTTATCATCAGGGAGATTAAACCGGTGTATCAGATAAAAAGTTTACCCAACTTCTATATTCTTGGTAAACTCGTAAATTAAATTTGAGCAGGGTAAAATTTATAAATTTCTCGCATTTCTAGGATCTGGAACTATTTTATCCTTCTACTATATTATCCTAGAGAATTTAAACTGAAGAAATAATGGAACCATAAATAATAATTGACCAAAATGAAAATTTATAATTTATAATGAGAATATCAATTAATAAAACTTGAGACAAAAGTAAATGGAAGATTTATCATATTTTTATTGGTGCTCCTTGTAAACTTTCACAGCCGTAATACAAAATAACTTATATAATATATATATCATACAGTTTTAAGACTTTGATGATAAACAGATACTTATTTAAATTTAAATTCAGATACAAATATCTACTAGTAATTAAATACAATATTTAATTTAATAAATAAAATAAAAAATGGTAAAGCCATTTACAATAGACATAATATTTACAATAAATTAACATTTTACGTCGTTGATATTTAAAATCCTCTCTAACTTGAATAAAACTATACTCTTCATCCCCAATCTACGTCACATCCAGATAAATATATATATAGAGTGACGTTCAATGTTTAAAAATAAATTTTCATTTACGTCATAAATTCATCACATATACCATTATCCCATACACTAATATAAATATATTTAATTGTATTAATATTTAAGTAATAATAAGTAATAAAATCTCATAGTTGATAAATTATTGCTTAAGTTTTCCGCCAAACAAAGAGGCATTGAGCAAAATAAAACCAACAAATTTTCATTGTTTCTTTTCGTTTTCGTTGGACATCTATATTAGGCAAATAATATTAATATTAATTCAATTAATATATTTAAAGATTTAATATAATCGATAGTTGATTAAAAAATTAACTTTATTTGAGAAAATAAATTTATCACACCAAAAGATCATTTTTAGGAATTTCAAATGATAAATTATTTATTGCTCGAGTTAATTTTTTAATCAGTCTGTAAATTATATTGATGATGACAATAATAATAATAATATCTTATGATTAATTATATAAAAAATAAATCTAGTGTGAGACTTGTATAATTAACAAGTTATTATTATTATATAATAGGGAAGAATAGTTAAAAAAAAATTTATCGTACAAATAACTTGGTTATAAACTTTGGTTAAATAATCATCTCGTTTTCCCGGTTTTCGTTTTTTTGATTCTCGTGCTCGATGCAGTAACAGCACATGGAGTTACACTCGTCCAGGCCCTCCATAATGTAGGTTACATACGTGTCAATGCTACGAGTGTCCAAAGAGGAGAGGGACCAGGACAATGATGAGGTGACCTCGGGCTCGATGTATGTCACCGTCCACCCCGGTACTCCTGCTGTCACCAGCTCGCACCCCACCTGATTGTTGTAATTGTAGTAATTGTTATTGGTGATATTAGTGTAAGTGTAATTGCTGTTGTTGTTGTTATTGGTTTTTTTTTTTTTCAATTTTTGACTTATTAGCGTTGGTTGCTTTTGCTGGGACTTAGTAACCACTCGGCTTTTTGTTGATAATTTTTTTATTGCCTAAAAAATAAAATTTCATTTTTAAAAAGAAAATTTCTATTTTGCTCTTTTATTTAAGTAGTCACTATAAGTTTATTTTTATTCCAGTAATTATATTTATAAGCTTTGATATATATATATATATATAAACAAATATTTCCAGTTTTATATAAAATAATTTAATAAAATTTCAAATTTTATTCCATCACAATAACTTTTTTAATTAATTAAAAAAAAAAAAGTCTATTACAATTTCACACTGGTCCCTTAATTATTATATCATATTAAATAAATATAATTTTTCTCTGTTAATTGGTTTAAAAAAAATACCCCTATTATCCTCTACTATTATGTTAATTTTTTACCTTCAAGATCCTCCTTCCGGATTGAGTAAGCGCTTTCTTGAACATTCTCCTGGTATATCGATCCCGTGGCGAGTAGCGACTACTATAGGAACTCGCCCCTTTTTTTTTTTTTTTTTTTTTCAGAGTCTCTTTTTCTTTTCCCTCCCGGAAAATTTTAGTTACACGGAAAAAGTAAAACTCACTGTTTATGTTATAGCTTCTGTATATTGTATTAGAGTATTGGAGTATAGTATAGAATTTAGTGGAGCGGGAGGGCGGACTGTCAGTCCAAATGAGTAAAAAAATGTCGTTGAGAGTGCGTTATGCAGGATGTAGGACGCGAATCAATAGACCAACCAAATAAGGTAGATAAATTTAAATGGAGATATAAATGTGATGCGAGTGTCGCGACGCCCGACGTCGTAATGCTGGCTCTTAGCTAACCGAGGCTCCTATTTATAACCTCGAGGTTGAGCCGACTCCCGCTTATCAGAAAAGCCAGGCGCGGTAACCCCTGACTCGGGTCACTGTCTAAGGGTAGGGATATGTTATATCTTTTATTTATACGTCTATATATCTTATATTATACAATATCAACCTTTTAATATATATCTAATTGTTATAAGTAAATTTAATAAATGTTTCTAATAAATTATAAATTCAATTAACTAATTTTTAAATTTTAAATAAAAATAAATATTTATTTATATTAAATATAAAATATATGTAATGCAATATTATATACAATTAATATTAAATTTATTTGATATGATGGAGAACGAGGATAATTAAATACGCAGTCCTGCAATTAACAATTTTTTTTTTTAATTTTTTTCTATTCTAAATATTATTATTTCTATTTATAATATTTTATTTTAAAAAGACAAAGTTTAATTGAAGCTCGTGTATATTCCGAAATGAAAGCCGAGCTTGCAAGCTCGTAAAACACCGAGGAGTAATTTAAAGTTTATAGAAATAATGTAGTGGAGCAGGAACACCATCAATATATAGAAGCGAATAGAGGATAGAAAAAAGTGTATTATTTTGTTCATCTTCGTCTAGTTCCTGATGGTGAAAATTTTATAACCCGTATTTGTGTGCGAGAGCAAGGGTGTGTGCATGGGTGGTTAGGTGCGGATCTAAATTAAAAACTATCACTCAATTAATGGTAAAAGTCTTTAGCGTCATCTGCCTTCGTCACAAGTTAAAATTTAAGTTAAAGTTAAAAAGTCGGTAATAATTTTAAGTGATTTATTATTAAACATTTACATTATTTATGCATATACTTAATCCGAGGCTACCGGGGCTTCAGTCTGTATTATACTCCATATCAATACCCTCGGAATCACACGTCTATAATATTACACAGAGGTAATTTCATGTAATTTTTTATCACATAATGAATCAATGGAAAACTGTATAGATTATCTCAGTATAGAAATTACGGCGTTATTGCTGATGATTTTTCTATTAAAAGTTTTCATTGATAAAACCTTTACCGTATAATAAAATAAAATTTAATGGTCCAAGAAAAAAAAAAAAAAAAAAAAACATCTATTGTCAATTATATATTTAATGTTCTATTGACTAAAAATGACAAGTAAATTTTTATCGCCACCGATATTGCAAAAAAGTAAAATAAAGTGTATTAAAAAAAAAGAGGCGAGGCAGAGGGGTAAATAAAAGATTGTGGTCTGATCAGTACATCAGAGCCGAGCCAGTAAATGTAGAACGAATTGTCCTGACGTGTGTCCCTCGGGTCTCGGGTCTCGGGTCCGATGATGTGCGCATCGAACTGCCTCGCGACTACTGCTCACTCGCTCTACTCCAAAAGATGAAATTGCATGGAATATTGAATTAGCATGAGATTGATCGAGTAGTCCTAAATTTTCATCCGATAGATTGGTGCTTTATCTATTGCCAGATCCCATAAAGATGCATATCCTTGTTTAATTTCACTTAGTTCTCTTCTTCATACCCCCGTTAATACGCAAGCTAATAAATTATGCACATTACACCATAATCATGATTCTGGTTATATATATATATATATATTACAAAATATTAGTTTCAATCAATCAAAGTTTTATTACCCTGAAAAAAGAAACCCTTATATACATCAGTGTTTTTAATAAAATACTCATTTTAACTCTTTTCCCTGAATTGTATGAAATTCCGGCACTAACCTTACTGACACACTTTCATTGGATAGAAACAGGCCGTCTTGTTAACAATTGCATCGTGCAAAGTGCCAGACAATTTTCTTTAACACGCGACAAGCACGCGACAACACGCGTCGATCCTAATAGTCGCGTGTTACTCAACTCAAAGATTTTCATTTACTTTTATCACTTACGCTATTATTTTTTTATTGATTAATATTGATTAAAAAGTACCCGAATTATGCGTTATATTGTGATTGAAAATATGAAAAAAATAATAAAACCAAAGATAACATAATAATAATAATAATAATAATAATAATAATAATAATAATAATCTTGACAAAATTAAAAAGCGTATATATATTTACCTATTATCTTGAAGTAAATCCTATCCAAAGCATTGTCAAGATTAATCTAAACAAAACAAAATTATAATACTTATTATCATAAGGAGCACAAGATATACCTAATGATTAATGAAAGCTGAGTCGATACGATTAAGGGGGTATTCTAGTTTAGAAGCATGAATTTCAGGTAATTTTTTGAAGTGCCGTAAAAAAAAGGCAATCAATATTTTTACAATCCGTTTTTTTATAAGTTATTTATTAACATTACAAGAATACAGAAAAAAATAAAAAAGTTAAAAAACTTGAAAATTCAAAAAATTAGCAGCTGATGAAGTGGGGGGGGTCTCAAAAAAATTGGCACATGACCATGCCCACGATTCCAACCCTCCTAGCAATCGGAAATAAAAAAATAAAAAAGATTATCAACCTAGAGTAATGTCGCTATGGCATGAACTAGGATCATCCCCAAATTTCAATTTTTACTATTTTTAAAAAATTCGAAAAAGTAAAAAAAAAAAGCACTTCAAAAAATTACCTGAAATTCATGCTTCTAGACTAGAATACCCCCTTAAGCTCACTGGCCAACTAAATTAAACGCAATATTTAATTTCTCAATAGATTGCATACTATACAAAGTAGATAGTAGTATGTAAAACGTACGTAACAGACAATGGAGATGAAAGGAAGAAAGAAAGAAAGAAATATTAAGTATAAAGTATAATCGGGGAATGGGTTTGTTAGTTCCCGCGTACTCGGCCGCGTGTTGGCGCGTGCGTGAGTCGCGTGTGACCGACGGCGTTCTCACGCGACGCCACGCGTCTATCGTCCTTCGCCCTTGTTCTCTTTTTATTATATATATATATATATCTACAACATTTATTTTTCGCCATCGCTATAATACATAACATATATATTTAACTTTTGTCCATATATATATATATAATACTATTTTCTCTTTCTTCTAACCCGAGTTTCTATTCTCCGGAGAAAGGAATGGAAAGGACCCCCTCGAGCTTCCAGCGACCTAGACGTGAAATGACACGTGCCCGACTAAAGCTCGCTCTACGAAAAACTTATATAATTGTCATAACATCGCCCTTTGCTTTTTATTTTTCATCATCCTCATTTTAACTTTCAATCTTCCTTCATTTCCTATCTTTCCTTTTTTTTCTAATCCACTAATCATTTATTTTAATTTAACAAATAAATTAAAAACCATATTTAACATATAATTTTATCAATCATACTTATAATATTCAAAATTAACTCTTTTAATAATTAAGATTCATTATTTAAATTTTTGATTTATTAATAAAAAAATAATCGTCGTAAATAATTTAAAAAGACCTATTATAGGTCTATATTTATATATTATAAATCCAAAAATAAATATTAGCTCGCACTAAAATAAATTAAAAACTCTAACAACTATTGGAAGCGATAGGTACGTAACGATTGACGCGTGTTGATCACGTGTCTTCATATGCGCGTTCAAATATTTTTTTATTTTTTTTTTCTAATAATGTCTACGAATGTTACTGTTTCTGTTAGTATATGTGTGCTTGTTCTCATTCAGTCGGTGGAGAGTGAGGAGGAGTAAATGTACAAATGTACATGTTCATTGAAAAAATAAAATAAGCCTCAGCTAATTGCGACGCCCGTTCCATTAGAGATTAAACATCAAAAGAATATTCGTCCTCATATTTCACTATATACTTATATATATATATATATATATAGTGTAAAGAAACAGAGGAATAGAAAATGTAGCAATAGCAGGAGCAGGAGCAGAAGCAGAAGCAGACCAACACTCTACACACTCTCGATAATACACCACTCCTATTACTCACCCCATCGGTTTAATTAATATTAAAAGAAAATTAAAGAAATATCGTGTTACATAACTCCATTTATCATTTCTATCACTAATAATAAACAATAATAATTGCTCCTATTATTTTTATTTGACCCGAACGTGGTATTGATTTAATGAATGTGCTAGCAGTAGTTTGCTTGATAAATTAAAAATAAATATTTTTTCAACGTGACTTAACTTTTTCTCAAATCACGTACGTTTTCTTTTTTTTTTTTAATATTAAATTTTAATAAAATTAATAAAATTCATATCTTAAAAAATAAAACAATTTTTTTTTTTTTTATGACCGTTGAACTGAGTTTTATTGCAAATTATATTTTAAAAACTGATATTCAAATCAAGCAAGAAAAAGTTTACAGGAAAGTTTGAGCTTCGGTATGGAAAAATATTCACAAAAAAAAATGTATTTATAAATATTTAAATCTAAAAATATAAGAAAAAAATAAATGAATAAATTATTAGATCGTTAACGTTTTACGATTAATGATAATTCGGGTAATTCATGACGTCCACTTGATTAGTAATTTAATATTTAATAGTGATGAATATTAAAAAAGTAAAAAATGTAGAGAACAGTTGAGTTGTAGATTTACGATTAGATATATTTAAGTTGACACTTTCCCCTTTCCGCATTTCCCTTTATATATTACCTTTTTGTGTGAGGCTCGAGATCCAGTGATTCCCACGCATTGTGACAATTGCCAGAATAAAAGCTTTGCAAAATTTTTATCA